ATGGGCTCGTAACATCAAGAGTTTGAGTCCATTTTGAAATCTTTACCACTTGCCTCACTCTTTTCATCTGCCTTTCTTTGGCTTTCTCTGTGTTTGTGTATAATTTTTCTGTTGTTTACTGACCTCTGGAGCAGAAATGTCATAACGTGAATCCGTAGATAGGCTGCTTACTTTGCTGACTTTACATTTTCACATTATTTGGGGGCTTTATTTTGTGAAATTTACCTTGATATGAAGGTTGTTTGTTTCAGACCTTAATTCTTAAGGTGACAAAGCTAGCTGTTAAATCTCTAAGCTTTAATTATTCGGATGAACCAATACCTCACTCTGAGATAATTGAACATGTATGGAATGAAAGGACAAGCCAATTATAGCTGATGGCACGATTTGCATCTCATGTTTAATTATCTTTCCTGTCACCATAAACACGTCCGTGTGTTCGATTGTGGAGGGGTGCAAAAGGGACCAACACCACAAATATGGCAGGCTACATAAAGCTAAGCAAACCGCTTGTGGCTACGCTCTTAAAGACCAGCTGTATTTAAATGTGCATTTAGTCATCAGGCTGTCTGTTTTCTGATAGCATGCAAACACGCACACTATAGTAAGATCGCTAACATTATAAACAGGTTAACACTGACAGCGTGAAAACGTTTATAAGCCAGTGTTAGCCTTTAGCTTGCGCAAAGTTGCCAAGCTCCTGAGTCATACTATTTAAATGCTCTTATTTGCAAAGTGGGTCACCATAAAACAAAAAATCTGGCAAAAACTAACAATTTTTATTTTAGCTATTTTGCTTTTTTTTTGTTATATAGATTATGGCAAGTGATTTTGGTTCGGAGTCCTTATACCATGTGGAAAATTTAGGTATGAGAATGGTCTCTCATCGCTAACAAACAAACGTTTGGTCTCAGAAATATTAATTCATGTGAGAAAGAAAGAATATCCAAAAGGAAGAAAAACATGGAGACAGCAAGCAGCTTTTTCCCCTTGCTTACGGGTACAAAACCTCACATTATCACTATCTCTGATATATGACGAAAGTGTCAAAACAACACATCTCAGGGTCATTTATAGAAGAAGCAAATTGGAACCTTTCAGATCTGAGTGCTCTCATCAACAGTCATCAATCATCAGTTTAAAGAGCGGTTGAATGAAATGTGGGGGTATTTTGGGGTCTGTTAGAGCTCAGCAAGATGAGGACATGGAGTTGAGTGTTAGTGCTGTTAGCTGTGCAGGAACACGTGGACTGGATAGTTCCCACTAACATGGCATCCAACAGGTGAGCGCAGGCCTTCGGTTTGACTTTGAAGCTTCTGAAAAATTCACATTTCCATTTCCTTTAAGAGATACTGTTTGTAAAGTGTACAGTTCAAAGAGATGTCATTTATTTAAACAACAAGATGCTAAATCATATACTGTGTGGCTATGGTACATAGCTAATTTCCCCCTAGCCATGTATATTCTTCTTCTTTCAGCGGCTCCCTTTACTTTGTCTCCAAAACCACTCGACCCAAGCTACACCTCTGATATATTAATTTCTAGTCCTACATCTTCTGCTCTCTCCTAACGAAAATCTTAACATCTTCAACTCTGCCACATCCAGCTCTGCCCCCTGTCTCCAAACCATACATCTTATCTTAAGTCTCACAACTGTCTCATAAATCTTACCTTTCATTCTTGCTGCTGTCCTTCCGTCACCAATCACCCTTGATACTTGTCTCCACCTACTCCATCCTGCCTGCACTCTATTCTTCACCTCTCTCATGCACGGTTCATTGGTCTGGATGGTTGACCCCTTCCTCCCGAGTAGTTAAACCCATCCACCTGCACTGCCTCTTCTCCTTGCACCCTCACATTTCTACCTGCCTCCCTCCCATTCGGACACACGTCCTCCTGTATTCTGTCTTGCTTCTGCCGACTTCCATTCCTCTTCATTTCTCTTCTCTCCAGAGCTTGCCTCCACTTCTCCAGGCAGTCTTCCATCTGCTCCCTACTCTTGTAAAGTGTGTACCTTATAGCTAGTGTCACAAAATCTTTCATCATTTTACCAAGAATACTGCAAGTTTACAGCCAGCTAGCAGCTACTACAGCTATACTGCTATTTTTATATACATAGGCACAGCAGTGATATCTTTAGTTGCGTGCATGTAAACTGTATGTGTGGAGAGCAAAGCTGGGGAGATTTGGTGAAATGCCATCTCAATATGTTATTGGCTATTATCTGACAAAGGCTGAGCTTTTGTTAGCTTGTTAAATCTATCTGTTTGGAAACAATGAGCAGCACACTGGCTTGGATATCCACTGGCTTCACCCATTCATACAAAAGATGAATGCAGTTACCTGGGTTGGGCATTTGAACGTTGCAAGCTTGGTGAAACCTGATGCGACCATGGTAAAATAGTAACTGGAAAAACTGAACAGCCAACTCCTGGGCGTCTTTTTTGTACAATCAAAAGCTGATCAAGTTTTCTCTAACTGAGAAATGGAGGACAATTTAATGTGTGAAACACTTGAAGACCATGAACTTTTTAGGAATGGTTAACTGGGATGGAATATTGGCGTTCCATCATTTCCATTCAACCTGATTATTTGGAATCAGAGGAGTCGCCCCCTGCTGACCACTAGAAAGACTCCAGACTTTAGTCACTTCTGCTTTGGCTTTACTTTTCAGACCCAGAGGCTTTTCATCTATTATACAGTCCCTGGCTGTGCCTGAAGCATTGAGACATTGGCTGTTACCCACAAATGCTAAGTCATCAGACAGTCTCGATTTAGCTGATGGTTGCAAGTTTTCCATGAAATTCTGTACAAATTAAATTGCAGTGAATCCAGTATGCTACTGCTCTTGTGACTATATTTAAAAACAAAACAGTTTCTTTCCCCTGCCTCCACAGGTAGCTGTATTAAATATATTTATCAACGAAAATATCTAATAAACTCCCTGACACAAGCTTGGCTTTAATGTGAGCTGCGCTACTTAGAGATTTTGTTTGGTGAGTAAATCCAAAAAACACTGGGTGAAAATCCACATCTGACTGTCTGTCATTTACTTAACCCCAATAAAAGCTTCACGGTGGCCGTGACCTTAATATGAATAGCTGCTGTATGCTCCCTGTGTTCAAGTTCGCGTGCCACCACAAGGGGATATTATTTGAGTGCAGCAGCAGATTAAGGGTGATGTGATCAACAACTGAGCTTTTGTCAAAGTCAGAAGTAATTTGTGCAACGTGTAAACTGCTTCAAATAGACTCCAGTATGGTCATTACCAGAAGGCTATAATCATATCAAAGTGGTTTACTCGAAGCTGCAGAGCTACTCAGCTTCAGCATCTTGTTGCTGCATTTTCTGTTTGTGAGTACCAAAATGTGAGGACTCCTTGGTACTGTAATTTTTTCTGTTTTTGCCAGAGAGAGACTAATTTTCTCTCTTGATTGTTAGATATATGTATGTTTTCACAGAAGTAGGTAACAGATTTTCTTGCCATCAGTGATATAAGAGTGAAAAGAGAAAACTAAATTCTGCCTGTTTTACCACACTGCTGAGTGGTATGGCCACCCCCTGTTGTTTCCAGCCTGACTTTTGCACGAGTTGAAAGATGTTAATCTTCTCACTAGTAATCCTTGTTTGAATTTGAGGGATTACTAAGGTCTCAGCAGATAAAGAAAAACAACTTTGATTTGTTGTGTGTCTATCAGAAACCATACGATAGAAAGAGACATCTGTACAGCCAAAAAGCAAAAGAGAGACAGACAGAAAGCCAAAGAGAAAATGGGCTTGTATCAGTGATTCAACCCTCGCTTGCAGTTATTCCTCTGTGTGTGAGTGTGTGTGTGTGTCTGCTTATGCTGAGGGGTCACTGGCCTCTCCTTTATCTGTGGCACAGTCACGCAAAACCAGTCGGAGATTGACAACATTTGGAGGATAAAGTGTCAGGACTGTGTCGTGCTGAGCTATCGGATGCAGCCTGGAGCACTCTCCATCACATTTCTTTGTGTTAACACTCAAGAAATCTGACAAATTCTCACATAGCCACATGTCACTGAAAGCAAGGCACTGGAGACTAATTATTAATGTTATCTTCCTCCCTACGGGCATGAATGGTGGTGGTGTGCTGTGCATGAGTTTAATTTATGTCCCTGCTCCTTAGCGATCATTTTGATTGGATGTCCTGTGTGCAGCAGAAGGGACAAACACGCTGTCTGTTGTTTTAGAGCCTTAGAGGAAAATTTGATGAGTGGAGTCCACGGTTCTTTTTACCCCTTTCTTGCTGCAAAAAGAGATTACATGAATGGCTGAGTCTTGTTGTGCTCAGGTCTTTGCCTTTGTACATAATCCCCTGTAATTCTCTTTGTGGCGGACCCTCTCAGTTGTCACTCATTGTTTGATGGCTTCAGGGTTGCCCTGAGAAGAGAAACGCTGATACCCAACACAGCAGAGCAGGAAAACTTTCTTTCCACAAAGACATCTGTAACGGAGGTTCTTCTCTCTTCCATTTCTCTTAAGCCTTATAGTAGAAAATAAATTCAATATACTTTTATTTAGACGTGAGCCACAGCTCAATTTTCAGTTCCTCCAAAGTGTTAATCAAGTGGTCCACCCCCCATGCAGTTCATACACTACCTTGGTTTTTGTTTTGTTTTTGCTGGGAATTTTGCAATTATTCCTTTTTTTACTCCACGGATGTTTTGATGGTTTGGACTTGCCTTTAAGTCCTTATGTCATGTCTCACTCCAAAAATATCTTAATACTTACAATATGTGTATATACAATATACATTAAACTGTCGATAGAACATTTTCCGCGTTTGGCAACAAATAATCCAGCTCTTTATAGTAAGATTTTGTTGCATTACACGTAAATATTAATTTTTTCCCGTAGTAATTGTAAACTACATGATCGCGGGGGCGGCTGTAACGCCTCTGACATCTTTCTCCCTTTGTTTCACCGGAGGTGATCGCACATGTGTGCTGCAGACTCCTGCTGAGCACTCAATGGTTGCAGGCAGTGTGCGTGTGCTGTGGGAGGAGCTAAAGTTTGGATGCTTGAAAGCGACCAGCCTTTAGTTTGTAGTAGAGGAGGCTCGTCTTCACACGCACTGAGGATGGACCTCGCCTCACGGACGAGTTAATGGACTCAATAACCTACGCTTTAAAGCGCACTTTACTGCGGATTTAGAAGATACATCGATCCATTTTTCGACAGTTGTTCCGGTGACCGTGAAGATTTCAGCTGTAACCGAGGTCTTTACACTGCAGCTCGTGGATGGTAAGGTCTTTTTGTGCCTTCCTCGTACTTTTTGTTGCCTGTCTCCACTTTAAACACCTTTAACGAAAAGAAATGAGAGGCAGGGGGAAACCGTTTTTTAATGTTTTATTAGAGGAAAAAAATCTTTGCGGACATTTGTGGTCCGGGACACAAGTGTGAATTTTAATTGTTTAGTTTAAGTAGTTTATTGTAAGATGGGGTCCTTAAAGGCAACTGGGATTTTTAATGTAATGGTGTAGGTTACTGTTGCATTTTAATTATTATTGTTATTATTATTTCTGTCGCTTTAAAAATTAGTTTGCATGTTTTTCTACTTGGAGTTTACATTTTTTGTTGCTCATCACGGTGCTGATTTATGCCCTGCACATTTTCCCTGTTCATTCCTAAAGAGAATGCCCCAAATATTAATTACTTTTGATAAAAAAAAAAAATAGAATTCTTTGCATTGCAGCTTTAGAAAGGGGTTTTTCGGATTGTTGTAAAAGAAGTATGTTGTATGTAGGTGTGGAGAGAGCCGCTGGACTTGGCCTCTTGTGTTTTCTGTCGCACATGTGGGTAAACAGCTGCTATTTCCATTTAACCCAATAAAACAACGAACCAGAAACCGTTCTGGTGACCTGATTCTGCTTCGTTTTCACCAAACATCGGGCGAAAAGTGTTGCTTCTAAGTCTCGATCAGTCACTCATTTCTGTAAATACCACGTGGAGTCGTTTTGGAGTAGATTCTGTCCGGTTTTACACTTGCTTAATGACACCTTTCCTGTTATTCTCTTCCAAATAGCCACCTCCTCTTATCTCCTCTGGCATGTTGGAGACTGTGTTGACATACCTCCTGTATCACTTTGCATTTCTATGAACCAGACACAGTTTGACCGCAGATAAAGCATCCCATTTCCTCTGTTTTTGGTAGGGATTTCTTAGAAAAGGCGTTTTGTGTTTTTTTTATCCTGAACTGCTGGATCAGATCTGGTGGTTATGATGCATGTGAGAGCAAACGACTTTCAGAGTTTAGATATTACTGATATGATTTACCAGAGTAAGACTGTAAATGACCAGTGGAGCAGTTTTCCCTTCAGGGCTGTGCTGTTCTTCGTCTCTGTGTGATATTGTATCAAGAGCTAACACTGATGGGCGCTAGCGTTTATACTGTAAACAAACTGAAGAAACGTTCCCTCTAGGAGCACATGCAGCAGCATCATAATGTGTGCTTCCCATCTTATCCTCTGTGTCTTACTCTGAAACGCATAGACACTCATGCATAAGCAGACCCCCACCCACACGTTTAAACAATCAAAACACACACACACACTCTCCACCCAGCACTCCACCCACTATAACAACTTCAGAGGAATGGTCAGCATGTGGAGAGGTTGTGGTAAACGAGTGGGAGGGCAAGTGGAGACCCAGGAGAGGAGACACTCTGTTGCTTTTAACCCTCAGAAGGTTAGTGATGTTCCATATCATGTCTAGAGGGATTCGATTTGTTCAGGGCAAACTGATGGGAACTTGCGTGTTGAGAGGCCCCAGATGTGGGAACACAGTCATTTTGCTGGGCCGAAGCCAGATCGCACCCAGCGACAGGGCAGACGTTAAGCCAGCCATTGCTGCCTTTTCATCAGCCCAGTTAAGTTTGTGCAGAAGACAGAAAAGAGTTTCTCTGTCCTAAACATAAATTCGTTTAATGTGCATGGTTTGCTTTGCTGATGTTTTGCCACGTAAACATTTGGCAGTAACAGCACCTCCCTTTGAGGAATTTGTGAGGATTCTTTGAGTGTTAATGCTACACAAACTGTGAAAAGTCACACTGTGCTTTTGCACATTGGTGATAAGTTCACATTTCTTTTTAATGGTTCACATTTGCATTCACTAAAACTTGGCTCTAGACCTTTTTGCTGACTTTATCGCTGTGTCCTTGCATAGCTTCGCCGGCCATTTGCAAGGCCATTCATATTCAGTGTGACCTGCAGGTCGTGTAGAAAGGCTGGCCAGGCCCTGCAGGGGTTTTCAATGTTGGGTCAAAAGAAGACTATGAATGCAGGTGACACTTCTGAGGCTTTTTCTGATGAGCCAGAAATTCTTCAGCAAATTGGATTTTCTTCATTTATTGCTGCTTTATACTCTGGCATTGCTTTCATAAACAAATCTGGTTTTGATGGTAAAAACATGTGTTCTATCTGCATTTCACTAATTCAAGTCAGACTGCTGTCATGCCTGTTCATCTATCACATGGAGCTGGAGAATTAAAGAGATTTGTACCACTACTGACAAATGCTTCAGGTACTTGCTTAAGTCTCATGGCATTTATTATATTTGGTGTTTTTCCACTGTTTATCTTGAAGATCAAACATGGCAGACAGTGCGAATGAAGCCTCTTGAGGTCGATATAGTCCTGTAACATTTCCGTAGCAAGTCTTTGATAATTCTGTAGATGTAATCCAAGTTTGTGCTCACGCTTCTGTTATAAAACTGAGCAGTTGCAGACCCCTGTTGAACTCTGTTTGGGGGCAGAATTGCAAAAACATGTTGGATAATACATGTCGAGCTACTCAGGTTTATTTTGAAGGACGGTTTATACCACTTGGCTGCATCTGTCTGACAAGTTCATCAGAAGTGCTCTCTGACTTCCATGAGGGTTTAACTAAGGTAGCTGTCTTTGAATGGAAACATGTTATGTAACGTGGAGCTCTCCTCCAGAGACAAATGAACGTCTTCTGCATTTTTCTTCTCTTATTTTGAAAGAAGTGTGGAGAAAAATATAAACAGTGACTTTGTAATGGAAAACAGGCTTACGATGTGCCTGGAATGCTGAGATCCAGTATTTATTTATATAGTAAATTACCAGAGACCCATATTATTAGGTTATTTAAACCTCGCCTTTTCCTAAATAATGAAAAAGTGCTGTGCACTCAATAAGGAAGAAAACTCCTTTATGTGAGGACCTTTATGACTGGTATTGGTAGGTGTAAAGTAGCACAATAGGAGGAGGGGAATTGTACCATTTTGTTTTGTTTTTCTTTGTATAAGCTGTTTTTGTTTTATTTCCCGTGTTTGGATTCTTGCTTCTTTTTTCCCCCCTCACAGGAAACTGGCACGGTTTGCCATGGTTTTCAGGGTTTTCCATGAGGTCATAGCACCTGATACCAAATACTTTTTTTCAGTACCTGCTCCCCCGGTGTTCCAAGTGATCCAAACGGGTACTAAAATGTGGCGTCTTCGGTCTGCATGCCACCGATTGACTGGTCAGTAGCATCATTCCATGAGTCATGAGAGCGTCTTGTTCACAAAAATTAAAACCGCCATTTTTGAAACCCAGCAACGACACATGCTTACTGCTTGCTATATCGATATACTCCAGTAGGAAATGAACCCCCTTCGTGGAACAGAAAGCCAAGGTTAACCATGAAGTTATCAGGATAACAAAAGATCCTTCTGTTGTGTACAGGCCTCTTGTTTCAACAGGTGGTGGTTACACACAAACACATACAGCAGTGCAGCAAAGGCAGTAAACATGGAGGAGCATAAAGAAACATCAACTAATGTAAACAGTGCTGGATTTAAAATCTGTGCAGTATTTCTCAGATTAATGTTTCCAAACAGAAAGAAAATCTGACATGTTTTTTGTACCATAATGGGCAGAATTTGGCAGATGGTGCTCAATAAATTCACTTTAAGTGAAAAGTTAAACAAATTGGCCTACTAGTTCTTTTATGATTATAAACGTTATCTTAATGTGCTGTACAGGGCTTTGCTGTTGTTAAATTAAGATATTCAGGAGTTTTAATTTTGTTTTGAGTGGTATTAAATGGCGTTATAATAATCATTATTATTGTAGTAGTAGCCTTGTGAAAGGCAGAGGGAGGTTGTCGCAGTAAGTCCAATGACTAAATTGAGGCTAAAGAAAATATTAATGATGTCAGGATTTTATTAGTTTTTTTCCCAGGCCTTCACTCCCCAGCCAAGCAATTTTTGTACACTCTTTAATTAAGAATTGATTTTGCCATTTTGTTTGCAGTCTTTTAGATCGTTTCCAATTATTTCCCTATAAATGATTATTGAACTCCAAATGCATTATGATATCATTCCCTTATTTGTTCCAAGTCTCCACTATTATCAGTAGGACCGTTGCCCAGAGGGACAGAACTGTTGACCTTTTACTTCCTTTATTGGCTACAACTGCTGGCAAAGACAAAGACAGAGCTCACGCCTGACGGTAAACAAAGCAGTACTGCTTCGGTTGTTCTTTTTGAAGTCCAGATGTTTGCTGAGAGTCAACAGCCAACTGCCTCGAAGCGGCCAACCTGACAAATGACTCGGACAAACTGTGTCATGTTTCCACTTGGAATGAGTAATGAGAACAGTTTTGTGGTCAAGCCTTTTGGTCACGGTCATCGAAGTTCTTACCTGAGCACGCTGAAGTGAGTTTGGGTCTGACGAGGTGAAGTGGAGCCTGAAACAGAATATAGTCATCTGATATGCTTTTAAATCCTATTGCTCTGCTTGTCAAATCATGTAAGGAAATGAGTCCTCACATCGGTTTAACTACGGGGATTAATCGTGCACCGCACTCCCCCACCACCACTTTGACGTGTAAGTCATGAGATGAATAGCCCAGTATGGATAACCAATCCTTTGGATTTGATGGTGTAATTAGCAGATGAACTGTGATGCTAATACAGCATGGTCCAGACCTCAGAAAGGCCTCTGTTGTGCAATTGCATGACTCTAAACTTTCAACTCTCCTTTGTGACACCACAGAGTTTGTTCACAGTCTTGCCTGACATCGTCATCGACCCAGCAGATGAATAAGATGCTGTGGTCCGTCGTGGCCACGGGCAACTTTCACAGCACCAGTGTGCCTCACATATCTGGGCTGCAAAATCAGAGGGAGGCCACAGGCACTGGAAAACAATTGAAAGGATTTTTCCCCTCACTGCTAATGTTTTCGGACAATCATTAAACTTGGTTCTGTCAACTAAGCAGTCAAGAGCCCCAAGCAAGTA